CCCCAAAACCCCAAAACCCCAAAACCCCATGATACCTATTTATTGATAAAATAGAATAAGGATAATAAATATTAATTAATCATATATCATATCTAACATAAACTAGATGGAAGGAAAAAGAAAATCATCAATTAAAGTATGATCATTTTTTTAAAAAATTTTAGTTGAACAAAAGAATCAGAGTAGGTGTTTGTTGCATGGCTAAGAAAGTAATCTAATGTTAAATATGAATTATTAGCTAAATTTTGGCCCTATGAAGAGTATTTTGGAGTTTATCTCTGAATATGAAGAGTTTGAAATCTTGACCTTTGATCAAGATATGATATTCAATAAGCCTATTGAGGTAAAAATAAGTTTTACTATAAATATATTTTAGGAGTGGCATAGATGTGACGTACTTATAAGTTTCTACTCGAATGGGTTTCCTTTGGAAAAAGCTATTCACTATGCAAGAAAATATAAGCCCAAAATGATAAATGATCTTGAGTCCTAGGTAACATATCTTTAATTTTAATCTTATTTAATAGAAAATACTATGGGATAGAAGAAAAACTTATAAAATTTTGAAGTAGCATAATATTCCCATGGCAACTCATTACTTTGTAAACAGGAAAGATACTCCTGAGATGACTCAGGATTATCTAGAAAGCCTTGGAGAATTTTAAAAACACAGAGGAGAAGAGCTTATAAAGAAAGCTAAATCATGGAGAGAATAGTTTTCAAAAGTTGCCGGATAGGCAAGATCCTCTCAAACAGATGAATTATCTAATTAAGGTCAGCAACTTATCCCAATGAACCCCTCTATAACAGGACTGGGAAGTATTAGTCCCTCACCTTCTTTCGAAGAATTCAAGCTATCAGACTAGGAATCAAAGAAAAACTATAGCTAAGCTGATAATAACGCAGGGTCCGGAAAGAAGTAAATTACGTATGATATCCTTTTTTAGACTAGTTATTAGGCTATCTGGAGATGATCAAGACTACAGTTTTGAAAATCATTAATAAGATGAACTGCTTTATGAAGACTAAGAGGTTGGTATTCAAGAGTATGAAGACTATTTAATCATAAACGGAAAGAGACTAGATAAACCATATGTTGAAAAGCCAGTCAATGCAGAGGATCATGAAGTTATCATCTACTATAGTTCTCACAGTCCATGTGGTGCTGGTTATAATGTTCTATTTAGAAAAACTGGTAACTACTGTTCTCAATTCTTTCCAACATTAGAAGGTGCTTAGATTAGATAAAAAGGCTCTTATATATACGAGGAATTCCTGTCTACTGATGGCTTTGATATCAAAGTTTATACAGTCGGAGCAGACTACGCGCATGCAGAGGCTAGAAAATGTCCAACACTTGATGGAATAGTTCAAAGAGATGAGAACGGGAAAGAAGTGAGATACCCAGTAAACTTAACTTAGGGTGAAAAAGAAATAGCTAGAAAAATAGCAATTGCTTTCAAGCAAGAAATTTGTGGATTTGACATGCTGAGATCAAAGGGACAATCATATGTCTGTGATGTCAATGGCTTTGCATTTGTGAAGACTTCTAAGAAATTCTACTAAGACTGTGCAAACTAAATTAGTAGAATTATTATGAAGAAATTATTTAGGAACTGGAATGATCCTAATCCTACTTAAGACTAGCAGCTGCTCGATTAAATTTAATAGCAAGAGCAAAGACCATACAGACCATAGGAGATAGGTACGTATTTGAAATCTAAATGGGAGCTAAGATCAGTTGTCGCTGTATTTAGACATGGCGACAGAACCCCTAAGTAAAAAATGAAAATGAGGACTAAAGATGTTTGCTTCCTCAAATTTTTTGATAATAGGCCCAATTAGAAGAAGGAAGTTAAGTTAAAAAATCCAAGGGAACTCTTGGTAAGTAATATAATACTTAAAAATTGTATAGAAACTTTTGGAAATGACTAAAAGATTAGTCGAACAAATATTGAAGGAACATGACCTTGTAGAAGAGTATTAAGAAGATGAGAGAGAAAAACTAGCTAAACTTATTCAATTAAGAAATGTGCTAGAGAGGGACAGATTTGAAGGATTAAACAGAAAGGTAGGATCAATAACTCACATAAACTTATAGATTTAACTTCGACCTCTGGTGTATGAGACTGTTACAAACTCTAAAGGAGAACAAATCGAGAAAGTTATTGAAGCCTTGTTTATTCTTAAGTGGGGAGGTGAACTCACTCATGCTGGTGTTAAATAAGCCATTGATTATGGCACAAAGTTTAGAGAAACTATGTACGAGGATAAGTCTGGTGGATTGCTAAGATTACATAGCACTTACAGACATGATCTAAAATGTTATACCTCAGATGAGGGAAGATGTTAAAAAACAGCTGCAGCTTTCTTGAAAGGACTACTTCAGCTAGAAGGAGCTTTAGCACCTATTCTAGTTATCATGGTCCGTAAAGATGAAGCAACTAATTTAATGCTTGATGATAATTCCTCAGCTGAAAAGTTAATGAATGATATTAAGAAAAAGTTGACGGCTTTAATGCATTAAGATAAGCCTTTACTAGAGGCATTTTAAGAAATGTTCAACAATACCCCAAAGCAATCCCTTTAGGAAATTATGAAAAGATTAGGTAATCCACTTAAAAGAATGGACTAAATGTTCAATCTTATTTAAGAAGTGACAGAAAGTTTGAAAAAGCGTCTCAATGAAGAAACCGAGTAGTTGCAGGCTAATTCTTATTTAATCACATCACCTAACTTTGAGAAGGTATTTAATCTAAACTATCAATACAGCAACCTAGAAGATAAAGTAAGTTTCTCATTTTATAAATTTAAATAGTAGTAGACAGATAGAAATATTCAAACTGACACTAACAGTGAAGAAAATAAGGATAATCATTCGAATAAGCATTTGAATATTCCTAAATAGCATCAATAATCCAATAAGAAAAGTAAAACAAAGAGTTTTAATCTTATTCTTTTTAGTTGAGATTGTCAAGCAGGAAATTCAATAGAACCTAATTAGAGATGATAAATCAGTTGCAGGATGCGAGGGAGAATAATAACTTTTGATGTTTAAAAGATGGAGAAAACTAGAAAAAGATTTTAAGAAAAAAGATAATACATATGATATTAGTAAGATCCCAGACATATGGGACAATATCAAGTATGATGTACTTCATAATCCTCATATGATTGATGACTCGAGAAAAGAGTTATTTGACGTAGCAGAACTAATGAGCTAGATTATCGTTCCTATGGAATATGGTACTAATGCTGAAGAGAAATTAAATATCGGATTCAAAATAATACACCTCTTACTCAATAAGATTCACCATGATTTACTTTGGTGGACCTCACCTGAATGGGAAAATATGAATCATGATTTCGTTGATGAATATGAAAGTTGGGAATAAAAAGGGCTAGATTAATCTAGGCTTGAAGGATTGGTCAAGAGCCACTGGAGACATATGAGAACAAGACTCTATTTCACTTCAGCTTCCCATATGTATACGCTATTGAATACTCTGAAGCTAGGTCTCAATTAAACTCTAATTGATCAGTCTAATCTGAAGGACAAAGAGGCTTTAAATAATATTACAACAATTGATTATATGTCTGGAATAGTCTTCAGACTTTATGAAAACCTCGGATTGGATGAAGATGATCCTGATAGGTTTAAACTTGAGATTATGGTAAATAGAGGAGCAGTTGTGGAAAATTTCGGAGAGAACATTGAGAATCATACAATTCCTATTAGCCAAGAAAAATTCATAGATATCAATAAGAAATTGACATTCTAAGATGTTGATAAGTTCTTTAAAGATCTCCTACTATTCAAAAATCTAGAGGAGTAGAACCTTGCAAAAGACAGTGAAAATAGTCCTAATAGCATTGACGGCAGAGATGATAAAGTTAAATCAAATGGAGGAAGCCCCTTATTAGAATGAATTTATATAGTTATCTTATTTTTAATCTTGATTTCATTACATTTTATGATGCATGGGGTTTTGGGGTTTTGGGGTTTTGGGG